GATACTGAGGAAGAATTCTATTTTATATATTTTACATGTATTATATATACATATACATAATTACATGTTTATATATATTGTGTTATATGTGTGTGTGAGTAGATATGTATGCAGGGCAAATACATTTGCCAAATGAAAGATAATCAAATTGCAGAAAATCACAGCCTGCTCCCAGATAATTCATGAATTGAAGAAGCTTAGAGTCATCGGATGAGTGTGCTGGCTTTGATTTTTTTCTGCTCTACATTTTTGGTATTGTATGAACCGCTTAGTAGTATCTGTGTGCACTCCTCTACCTACATGGCAAAATTAGATTAAACTATGTGTCATAGACACAATATTGGTGATTCTCTTGCGGTACATATCTTTTCATCACAACAGATGCCTCAGCTGTTATTGGATTAAGAGTATCTGGGTTCTGCTCCCAGTTTCTCTCTGAAGATCAGATTGAGTATAACAGGGTGGCCGACTATAACAGTGTGAGTACGGTGGCACAAGGGTTTGCTTGTGGCGGGGTTTAACATCTTTTGTGGTTCCACACGCATCAGGATGAGCTTTTTCTCACAGGAAGAGTATTTGATGAATTGCGTATGCTTAGCACTGAAAGTGGAGAAGTGGGGAATTTAAACATCTTAGCTGTTGTGTGTTAAGACCTAGCCAGTGAACAGCTGGTGGAGAGACTCTTTTAGCTCTAGGGGTGACAGCTTGTGTACTTGGGGGTGCAATAGGATTAGGTAGCAATTTCCATTCATTTCAAAATAACCTTGCTCAGGAGGGTCAGGAATCTGGAGATGTAGGAACCCATAGCTCACTATTTGTTACTGTAAGTTTTATTGAACATTATGCTCTAATTAAAAAAAAAAAAAAAAAGCTTTTGGAATCAAATTTGACCTGAATATAACTCCAATGGCTTCTGCGTTCTTACACTAGGGATTAATTTGGCCCTTTCTACTTTTATGTAATGAGCTGATTGCCACAGTATCTTATCCTCGTTACACAATCGCCCTTGTCTGGCTGTGTCCCTGGAGCGCGCTCTGTGTGTGTGTGTGTGTGTTTCTAGATCTAGGGTCTCACCTTGACTGACTGTGTATTTAGTCCTACAGCCTCACCCCAACTACAGGTACGTGCTTGCCTAGGCCTTACACTGATATAGTGTATGTGTGTGTATATATGTGCATGTTCATTCCAAGTTCAGACACTGTGTACAGACAAGCATACACATATGTGGGAATTCAGGGGCTTTTTCGTTTGGCTGGCTGTATCCCTGCAGTATTTGCTTTTGCTGGGGGTAGGGGAGAGAGGGAAGGTTGCTATCAGAGATCTCATTTAAACAAGAAGGAGCATAGGAAAATACATTCTTTATTATTCTTCTGTAACAACAAGCCAGAAATATAATATACCTTTAAAAATTTTCTGTCTCATGCCAAAGAAACCTCCATTCAATCATTTTAGAAAATCCTGTTGCTCTCCCTCAAACAGTAACAAAAAGAAAAAGAAATTACAAGTGCCATCTGTTCCCTGCAAGAAATGTGCCTGTCTGTACCACAGGTGGGTGTGTGGGGAAGGGGAGCGGGGGGAGCAGAAGGGGTGTTTCTGGTGGCCCTGCCAGCCCCTACATCGCCCTGGCACGTGTTGGACCTGCCTGCCCCAGAAGACCGTTTCCTGAGGGCAGGCACCTGCGTGGGGCATTGGTACACCTGCCTGCAGCAAAGGGTGCATTCAGGGGGATTCCCCCTATGCCTAGCCATGCCTGCAGGGAGAACGGGAGCCCCTGTCCCCACACACCAGAGGAACCCATTGCCTGCGCACACGAGGAGCACTGGGTCTCATTCTGTATCTAGCATCCCACAGGAGAGCTTTGTTTCTGACCACACTGGGTACCATGTTCCCTTGAGTGCCCGTGGACAGTGCAGCGGCTCAGTCACACTAGGGCAGCCTGTTTTCCAGGTGTGCTAGGGAACAGAGTAAAAGCCTGTTTGCAAACAGTGGTATAAAAAAGGCATTTCCCAGTGAACGCTGTTACTCTGCTCTGCATGAAAGAGGACAGGTCCTTGTCCTTCCAAGCACAGTATTTGCTTTCCAGTGGGACTCCCCATGGCAGCCAGCCTTCATGTTTCTCAGCAACTCTCTTTTCTCCCCTTTCCTGTCTTCTCCTTTCCTGGGTGGGTTTCTAAACATAGCAGTCCCTTGTCTAGGGTTGAGATGAATCCAGACTTTCTGCCTTATAAATGAAAACAAAAAGGAAAGGATGGGCAAGGTCATCATCAGCCCCACAACACAAGATATAGAAAATATTATTAGCAACAAAGAAAAATTGGTCAGGGCAGGAGGAGGTCACAGGGAAGGTGCAGGGAAAGGAGGATTTCACCCCCCCAACCCCTGCATTGTCCCTTGCCTCCCTCCCATTCATTTTACCTCTAGTCTATCCCCTTAAAAACAATCTCTCACACTCTTGCTCACTCACACACACACACGCACACACATACAAGCACACATATAATAGAGATCCCATTTGTTTTGTGCAATATTTCACCATTATTTGATGCAAGTAAAATATAGATCTATAAATATACCGCTCTGACTCAAGTCCCATTTCAAGTATGATTGCGGAGTCCAGTATGGTAAAGGGAGAAGTTCCCCTGAGAGGGAGGATGGGGAGAGGTTTGGATCCAACAGGCAGAGTCTAGTCCTGGCTTGCTGGGAATGTGGAGCAGAAGTAACACACATACGGAGTCTGCAGTGCACCAGTTCTGCCCTTTGGGGCGGGCTACGGTTGCAGCAGATGGGATGGTTGGAGTGGCTATACAATACATGGGGGAAGAGTCCTTCCTCCTCACATCTTGCCAGCCCCTCTCCTCCTCCTCCTTTTCCTCACAAGCAGCGTGCTGGGAGTGGGGATACAATGTGTGCACACACTTGCGGGTGGACTGCTTCTCCCGCTCCTTCTTCCAGGGCAGCCTGGTCCTCTGCTTCGTGAAGAACATCCTCCTCTGTCCCATGCATCCCTGTGTCAAAAGGAAGTCATGCTAAAACAGTCCAGAGCATCCTGTCTCTTTGCCTCTGGTGGCCCTGGGTAGACCAGGAGGGATTTTGCCACTCCAGGCTTTGATTAAAGACTTGGCATTGTGTGCCTATGGGTCAGTACAACCACCTGTCTGGGACCAGAAGGGGGTGAGGACCCAGCATGCGTCGCTTCCACAGGGATCCAGCAGCGGCGAGCAGGAGGGCTGTGAGACATCCGAAGGCATCAGGATCCAGCTGGAGCAGGGGCAAGAGGTGACGTGCCCTGGCAGGGTGCACCTGCAGTGCGTGCTGGGCTCTGAACACAGGTTGCTAGCGAAACACCCTGCAAAGCTGGGCTGGCTGCCAGCTTGTTTCCTGATGGCAGGGATTGCACCATCCACAGGCACTGCAGATGCACGACCTCCGGTGTCATCTTCCTCACCCAGGAATACCCACTGTGACGGGTTAGAGCAGGTTACCATGGCAATGTGTGCTCTCCCCTGGAGACAGCATTTTATCCCACTTTCAGTGATACAAAATGAGTCCTTGCGTTGAGTTCCTTTCATTTTTTTTCCCCTCTCACTTTTTTTTTTTTCCTGTCAGGTCGGAAAGAGCTAAGACTAATAGGAGGCACTGCAGTCTGAGGGCTTTAAAATCTGGTTGGGGGAAGTCACCCAGTGTGACAGTGGCAGTGTGTGCAGTTGTGTGTGTGGGCACACTCATGTTGCAGCTGTGGATGGCAGTGAACACAGCAGTGATGGTGAGGGGAGCGTACATGGGCTGTGCTGTGTACAGTGTTGGCCCGTTCCTGGGCTCTCCCACCTGTGCTACGCTGTGGTTCAGGTTTCAGCCTTCACCTCAAGACCCTCCAGAATTGTGCCCCCCCTCTTCAGTTGCATAACCCTACTCCGTACACTGTGCTTGGCCCTCTACCAGCCATGCCAGCTCTTGGGCTGTGTGTCTTCTTTTCCCACCACCTTCCCCTAGGCTCATACTACTCCTCAGCATGGGTTACACTACCAAGGCTGGTAAGCCACCTCCTCCTCTAGTGTTTCCTGATGACTCACTTCTGTTCTGCCAATCAAACATTTCCAAATGGAGGCTTCATATCCTTACTCCATTTATCATAGAAAACATAAAATAGATAACAAGAACACACCTTATTTTTTTTCATGCTGTGTACTCATTTCCACAGATTCATGCTGTAACCTTAATAACTGCCTCTCTCCATTCTCTCCTGCCCATTTCCACTGGCTCTGCATTATGGCTGAGATGTTTTTGTTAGCTCCTCAGTGGCAGGGTGTATGTATTTTGTCTGAAGCAGAAAGTGCTGTGCACTGTTATGATGAGAGTAAGGTAAAGTGGCTGAACGTATTCATGGCTGCATGCAGAGGGCAGATCAGCATGGGTACATGTGGCTCTGCACGCACAGGTGGGGTGCCTGGATGCCTGGTGTTGAGGCTGACTGTGTGTGTGTTGGGATCAGAATGAGTCAGTAAGCATATGTGTGTACAGGAGGATGGCTCTGTATCTGTGCACCTATAACAAATGATGTGTGTGTGTCAGCTCGCAGATTTGGACTTGGCCAGGAGCAAAAAGAGGGACGCTGTGCTCCCTGGGAGCATGTTAGAGTGATACAGGTATCTTTCCACCTTTAAAAGTGAGAAGGGAAATCTCCCCCTGACTGTTGTCATCCCCTAGGGACCTTCCCTCCGTCCTGATGTGCTCTCAGCAGCACTGACTTGTAGGGTGGGCAGCAACTTACTGTCACGTAACAGCAGTGACTCTAACAGCGAGGCATGGACACTTCTTGTGTCCTGCTCCTCACACAAGCTTTCACAGAGCTGCTCCCTCTGTTTGCAGAGAGCTCTTCACAGGATACAGGACGACTCAGGACTGAAGCTGAGAGGATGACACAGGTTTCCAGAAGGTGCCAGCTGCCTCCACAGCAGGCATGCGAGGGAAACTCTGTGTAAGGGCATGAGGCACAGCAAGCATTCGAGGTCTGACTCTACTTTATTTGTCTGGGAGGGCCCAAGGGTGAAAGGGCACAAAATGGGCCTGGGGCAGAGGAACAGAAATTGAGCCAGGTGCCCTGACCCCCCAGAAGCATGTTGCACTACTTGGGTGAGTGGAGCAATAGCACAGTCTGTCTGTCTGTCTGGGAAGATGTAGTTTGGGAGGACCCCATGCTTGGCTGCTCTCAGGTACCTTTGTTCATTGCTGTCCTTTCCTTCCTAGAAGAGTTTCATGCCACAGAAGAGATTTGTTTTTGCTCTTCATGTTCACCTTCTGTGTCGCCCATGAGTGGCTGCCTCTTCTTCAGCTCCCGGTGGTACTTGGCCATAAGGGATGCATAGATGCAACCGTAAGCAGCTGCCACCACCATCATGATGCAAACAATGCCACAAACCACGCCTGCGATGATCACAGTGCCAATAGCCCGGCGCACGCTCACAGGCCTATATCGCTGTTTTTGAGGGCATCCCACACTGGGCTCCACTTCTGTTTCTGGGCCCGATTTAGATTTGGAAGGAGTCGGGCTTCCTTTAGTGCAGGGTGGGCCAGTATTGTCCAGCACTGTAGAGCTGTTCTCATCATCCAGCTGGGAGCAGTAGTTAAACATCTCCATGGGCACCATTCGCATATCCTTCCCTTTCAGCTCCTTGGGCAGGGTACATGCCAGCTGGTCAATTTTCCCACCTGTCCCAACAGAGATAATAGGAGTGAATCATGGCTTCATTCCGAAACAGTGACAGCAGAGCTAGATCCTCAGGTAGGGTAAGTTCCTATGACTCTGTTCACACCTGCTAAGGATTTGCCCTGTAGAAGTCAGGCATAGCAGCATTATGGTTATCAAGTGGGGAACTGCTTTATTGTGGCAGTGGGGCTATAAAATCCAGTCCCTCATGCGTGAATGCATTGCTGAGTAGAGAGAGTATTCAGAGAGCTTCTCCCATCCCCAAAAGGCAGCCATGATCTAGTGCGGGATGTTTCTAGAGTTCAAGAGAGACACTGAAGTCAGGAGGTGCTGCAGACCCCCATGTCCTGCCAGATCCACAGTGCATGTCAAAGGTGGAGGGAGGGAGTGCACCTCCATGCACCGGGCAGAAGCACACGTGATATCCTTTAAAATTATTGTTTTGCCTAACTTGGAGACATTTTGCATGCCTTAGCTCTCCACAGCTGGAACAGCTTCAACCATGGCAGCTGGCTGGGGTGCTTCTGCCTAGGCTGGATTTGACAGTAGAGCTCATGGTGCATGATATCTGCACAGACATCTTTCACACCAAGACATGAAAGCCCTCTGAAGCCGTCTAATAAGTCAGCCTCATACTGTTTAGTGAGTTATGTAAGTGTCAGTAGAACGATTTTAGAAAAGGAGAAATTAAAGCAAAAATATAGGCCCAGGCTGTATCTTCTCATAGTAACAAGAGACACACAATCCTGTCTTCTAATAACTAATCAACCCCCCCTCTGTGAAAATAGTGACAGATGTTGACACAAATGCTTGAGCAAGTTTGGGCAATTTCTTGGAAGGGGAAAGAAAAGCAAAATTAACTCCGTGTGCTTTCCATCAACTCTGTGATATGACAGTCAAGAAAGAAAAAAAAAACAAAAAAGAAAAAAAAAGAGGGAAGCAGCACTCAGATGCTTGTTTGATCCTGCTCACACAAATGCGTATTTCAGACTGCAGTGTAGCCATAGGCGTAGATAATCTCTTTGCAGCATGGCTGTGATCAGCAGGGATGTGACAGCTGACTGTTGCTATCTGCATGATTAAGACCCTTTCCTACTCGTTGGCTCCAGTGACAGAGGGTCAGGCCTTCAATCGTCATTCCTGTAAAATGTGCCATCTTTCTCTGAGTCGCAGCTCCTGAAAACATATCATCCCGTCGGCATTCATGCTAAGTGTTACGTACCTTTCCAGCCTTCCGTATTTCAAGGAAAAGCTGGAAATACAAACTTGTCAAAAACTGCTTGTTTTGAAATGATGATTTTATAGGCAGTCTGACTTGGGGCCTGGCTTGTTAATTTGAGCTTTAGTTTGGGTTTGCCAATATTAGTTGCAGTATTTTCCTAAGTGGCACTGTTTCCTATGGTTCTTTTGTTGAAAGCAAACCTGATGCTTTACAGCCAAATCTCTCTTTTACTTCTCCTGGCTTGAGGAAGAGAACGGGGTGGTTGTTTTCAAGCATGAAAAGCATTTCTTGTCTTTATGCAGAAAGGGTGAGGGTACTCATAATCCTAAAATTCTGATGTTATTTGAGGAAAGTTCTTTCCTCTCAAAAAAAAAAAAAAGGGATCTTTCAGCTTAGAAACAAAATAAGGAAATAGGAGATCTCAGAGGACTTCTCAGCCTGGCAGGTTGCTATATGAAGGTGCAGTGGCACTAAACTGTCTCTTAGCATTGTAGCATGGTCCTTGTGCTCCTTGGCTAAAATCTGGCATTTGGGTCAGCCTGACCTGCTAGACGTATTTGGCTGTGCTTCTTCCCTGCCTGTCTTTGTCTGCCTTTCCATGGAAAACCAGTGCTTCCGCACTTGGCTCCCGCTGTGCGAGCACCTACCTCGGTAGGAGAACCACTCCATCCAGTGCTTGAAGTCTCGGAGGTTGCAGTCACATTCCCAGGGGTTATCCCCAACTTGGAGTTGCTGAAGGCTGGTTAGCGGTTCGAAGGTCACCCTGTCCAGGCTCTGCAGACGGTTGGACCTGAGAGAGAGGGAGCGGAGAGCAGGCAGGTCATCAAAGATGCCCGAGGGTATCTGGGCCAGGCCGTTGATAGAGAGATCCAGCTGTCGCAGCAGGGCCGTATGTTGTAGCAGGTCCTTGTCCAAGGCCCGGATGCTGTTATTCCTCAGCTGGAGCTCCGTGAGGTTCCCCAGGTCATTGAAGATGTTCTGAGGGAGCTGGTCCAAGAAGTTGTTGGATAGATCCAGCCTCTGTAAGGCAGAGAGGTTGGAAAACACTGCTCCTGGCAGGATGCTGAGTTTGTTGTTGAGAAAGAGGAAGGTCCTGGTGTTTGTGGGGATGTCTGAGGGGATGGAAGAGAGGCCCAAGCCGCTACAGTCCACTTCCAGGTTGCCACTGTTACACTTGCAGGATGAAGGGCAAGCAAAGAAGGACTCAGCAGCACATAGCGACAGCCAACAGCCAAGCACTGGTAGGTGAAAAGCAGGGGAGAGAAAGTGCATGTATTAGAGCAGTGCTTTCCCATCCTCACCCATCACCACCTTGAGCACCGCTACGGCTACAACATGACCCTCACAGCAGGACTCTTCGCTACAATGCCCTGCAGTGTAATGAGCTTCCTCACAGATACATCCCTGTACTGCTGGCCTGCTCCCTGGCATGACTTTCCTCTTAGCCTTTTTTTTCATGAGCAAGCAAGTAAATATCCTTCCAGTTTCACAAGGAAGTAAGAACAGTGCATCCCAGAGGACTTTGCTGCCAGGTACTAGAGCACTGGAACCTGTCAGAGGAGAATGGAGCAGAGAGCGGTGGGACATGTCACCTCTGATAAAGGACAGTTCTTTCTAAACAGTCAGGGTTGAGAGAGAAGGGACTGGTATGTATTTAAGAAGCTCTATTTTTTCAGAAATAGACGTGTTAATGAAAACTTTTTAAGAAAAATGGAAACAAAACAACCTACATCTCAGTTGTGCTCCTGCAGTTTGAATCCTAATCTTTGTGATAGATCAGACTCAGGTCTAAGTTAGGCTCTGAATCAGGGTATCATTTGCTCTCCATATCCACAGTGTGTTGTGTAGGTCTTGTGGCAAGAGGCTTTTTAATGAGTTAGAGTACATTACAAAAGAAAGCTATTGAAAAGCAGCAAGGAGACCCTAAACCACTGGACACCTGGTACTTGCCATTGCTCTCAAAATAGTTTCTGAATCCCGCAGCAATAGCCCCACAAGCATCTCCTCTGACCAAAATTGCCCATAGCAATGGAGATGAGGAAAAAATTGCAGGTTGGTAGTTGAAGAAAGGGGTGTTAGGAAAAGGGTTAGCACATGCCCCCTTTCTCCTGCAGCGTCTCTAAGATAAGGTTGGACAATCCACAAACCAGCATTTTTAGAGCTGTCGTGGATCACCATTCCAGACATGGGTCCAGATCCTGTGAGTGGTGTCAGGGCACTAGTTGCCAACCCTCCCTGGGAGCCAGTGGCTTTTAAAACTCTCATTTCTGTGACAAAGAAGCATCAGGAAGAGGAAAGCAAGCTTTGTACCTCCTGTCAATTAAAGGAGTGGGAGTTATGTTTAAGCAGACTATGTAAAACATTTGCATCCTTCATCTTAATTCCTTTTGTGGAATTGAGAATAATTTCTTCAATGTGGGAAGCAAATTCAGCTCCCTCGCTGTTTTGCAAGTTGACAAGCTTGAACATTTGACTAAAACTGAAGCAGATTTATCTCTACGTCATGCCCTGTTCTCTCCATTTCTCACTTTTCTTCAGAGAAGGCAGTAACTTGGAGTTGGTAGAGTCTTTTTAGGGGTAAATGAATGGTAGCTAAAGTGGATGCCTTTATTGTGTTGCCATTCTTTCCTGGACTGGAAACCAGATTCTTCTGTCCTGTTTTTTTCCGAAGAACCAACAAGCAGGTGTTTTGTTTCTTAAGCCCAAGGGAATTGTGAAAGGACTGTCATAGGAGCGGGAGCCAGTGGAGACCCATGCTATGGAGAAGCTCTGCCTGGAACAGCTCTGCAGTCAGCCATGCTCTTCCTCTCTTCCCTCGCAGCACACTCTCTAGGGTTTAGTCTGCCCCATAGCCCATTTTTTCGTATCGACTTGGTTTCTGTCAGGGATGCTGCCTTCATATTCAAATCCTGTCATCCTGTGTCAGGTCTTTTTGTGTTCCCAGCGATCCTTGTGAGAATTGGCAGATTTTTGGACTGGTAGCCTAAGGAGACTCCACAGCTTGGATCCTAAGCTATATGACTTTATTAAGGGCCACGGGATAAGTGTTCAGAGAGAGCATCTCTGCTCTTTTTTATTTCATCCATCTTTCACAATTCCTTCAAGAATTTTTTTCTGCCATACAGTTGAGATCTCAGGTGCACATCAGCCCAGGCCATGCCGATCTGTGTGCTCTTTTAATGATAGTTATGGATCCTTATGGTGATATACAAGAGAGATCTTTACCCTAGGTAAGTCTGTGCTTTCTTGTTATGCAAAGGTTGGGGTCAACAGCAGAGATTGCCATGACAGTAGATCATAGCCTGTGGACTGATGCAGTACAGGTACTGTCTGGCTGGCTGATATTTAATTCCATTCAGAATACATTGCGCTCTTGTTGTAGGGAGAAAATTAAGAGAATGGGAGCTAGAGTGGGGAAGGGAGAGAGCTGTGAGTCACTCAAATGACCCCGTCTTTTCCTTGATGCTTAACAAAAGTACAGCATTAATAATAGATTGACAGCTGTGATGATGAGATAACAGCTGCTTTGTACACCAAGAAAGGCAAGAGCAGACCGTGTGTAATGCTATACAGGTGGCATTCTGTTCAGGGCTTATCTCTCAAAATACCTACCTGCCACCGGCCCCGACCGGGCAGCTGTGGGGTTCCACCAGTATGTATGCTGGCAGTGGCTGGTAGGAACAAAGTCTCAGGCAGCTGTCTGTGGTTACGTTCAGGAACTGGATTTACGCCAAGTTTCTGCAGCTGTGTAGGATATGCCAAAAATGTCTTGTTGTTACCCATATACTGCTTTATGCTCTTGGAAATATTTTACTAAAATCATAGAGAGGAGAAGGTCTGATTTTATTTTCAGTCCCTGCAAGGGATGCATCCACTAGGATGTGAGCTGAGACCAAGGAATTCATCACATTGGTTAGGATGCAGCTTTATGGGGAATAGAGGCAGGGAAGCAATAGAAAGAACTTGAAACTGTATTCCAGAAGGAAGCTGCCACAGAAGGATGAGTAGTATACAGTTTTGTGCTAGGGGAAGATGAAGTTACTTTGTGGGGTGTTTGGTTACTCTAGTAGGTGGCAGAAAGCTGATCCAGGAATATCAGATTAAGTCAAGACTCACTAGCATTTGTTGTAAATAATTTATACAACATTCTAGTCTGTGAGGATGGGTTACAAAGATGCCTGTTTTCTGGAGAAGGAAATCATTTCCCCAGCTTCTTACAGTGGTACCCCCACATTTGATCAGGAGGACAGGAGCAAGGGAAACCACAACCCACTCGGCTGCCTGGGCATGCAGTAGTGATGGACACTCTCCAAGTGTTCCCTTTCCTCTGCTGCGGTCCCCAGATGCTTCTCTGAAGTGCAGGTACGTTCCTTGAAGCCCCACATCACCCTAGCAGTCTCTGCTCTGCACTCAGGGATACTGTAGCAGATGCCCCAGTCCACTGGGAAGATGCACAGGCCAAACTTTTACAATTTAATTTAAAAGAGATCCTCTTTATTTACTCCTTGATTTTCACTACATGTGGCAGTGCCCAGTGGGAGAATTCTGCATTCACATCCTAAAATCTTCTTCTGCCATGAAGAGCTAGGAGCCTTGCTCAGCAGCCTACGTATAAACCCCTACCACAGAGAGGAGTCTGCATCTTACAGGATGCTGATCTGAGAAATGTTTGGAGTGGATCTTGTGTGGTGGTATCTGTCTTGCTGTTTCTCACCTGCCAGGCCCACTGGAATTCAGAAGCAATCATCACTTGCTGTCCCACTTTAAGCCCATCTTCAGCTTTAGAGTCTCGCTCTCCCTCCCAGCTAGCCTGGCCTCTAAAGGAATCAGGAATTAGTTCAAACACCTCCATTCTTAGCTGTCCCTCTCCCCTATTCTTAACCCTGATGTGACCTATTTTCTTTCCGCTCCCTTGACAAACAGGATCATCATACTTAGTACCTGAGTAGGCATTACTTACGACAAGCCTCTTGCCACCTCATGAGGAACCTGCTCCTCCACCGGTGGCCAGCAGTTGTAGGCAGCATTGTTGTCTTCTCCAGCGTGTCTTCACATCCACCAGCCAGCCTGGCACACGGCCCCAAAAGGAGGAGGAATGACCTTGTAGCCTGCCTGCCAGGTCCTGGAGAGGGAGAGCAGAGCAGAGCGGGTGGGATTTGGTTCCCTGGGTGCAGGATGCGGGGCTGGGCTCAGTGTTGTCCTTTCCCCTCCCCAACTAGAGTTTTGTCTTTGAGGCATCAGCTCCGTTTTGGAGGAGAGATGGAGGATGTTTCAGGAGGCGCAGCATGATGAAGGTGCAATGTTAATTCACTTTGAACCTCGCAGTGCAGAAATGAGGCCTGATTCATCGAAGTGCCAAAGAGACAAGCCTGTGCTTGAATAGCCTGCTACGGTAGCTACATGAGCCTCATGCTCAAGGTTAACCTGATGAATTGCTGAGGTGACCCTGCCAGAGCAGCAGACTCCAGCTCATTCCCTCTCGCCGCCACACAGGCTGGGGCCACCTGTGTGCATCCTCTCCCTGACGCACGGCTCAGGCTCACCGAGGTCTGGGCACCAGCGGCTGCCAAGCCACTTCTCCCCCCCTCCCCGTATTCCCCACCAGCACTTCCTTTCTGTTTTAAGGTAAAATGGATGTGGTGCCTAGAGCAGGGCTGAGCAGAGCACAGCTTCAGCTTGGGGATTGCACACTGCAGCAACTGCAGGATCTGAAAAGTCTCCCTGACGCACGGCTCAGGCTCACCGAGGTCTGGGCACCAGCGGCTGCCAAGCCACTTCTCCCCCCCTCCCCGTATTCCCCACCAGCACTTCCTTTCTGTTTTAAGGTAAAATGGATGTGGTGCCTAGAGCAGGGCTGAGCAGAGCACAGCTTCAGCTTGGGGATTGCACACTGCAGCAACTGCAGGATCTGAAAAGCGAGCAAGCCTTGGAGGAGAAGGGAGGGCCTGGGGCGGGGGAGACTGAGTGGGAGTGTTGAAAAGAGAGGAATTACATCTTAATTAGAAGAAGGAAAAATGCTCAGTCTAATTAGAAACCCAAAGACCATAAACTCTCCCCTGACAATAAGTGACTGACAACAGGTTCCTCCTTCCTTCCCGCTTCCCTTTTGGATACAGGCAAGCAGGAAAAGAGGAAACACCACAGACCCTCCTGTCCCCCTGCTTGCTCTCTGACGTGCCGCCCACAGTCACAGCAGCAGTTAGATGGACACATTTCAATCAGGGTACAGAAATAAACCATCCTCCCTCCTCTCTGAGGGGCTCTGACAACATCCACAGCCCTTATTTTAGCTGGGCACTGCACTCCCACTGGGACACTCTCCCCACACACGTGCCAGCTGCTCCCCCTCCCCCAGGCTCCCGTGACTGACTGATTTTATACAGAAGTGTAACCACCAGGAAATATTTAAATTAACATCTCGGTGAGAAAGATGAGCAGGTTCAGTGCCTGGACTAGTACATTTTGCAAGGCTATTTAGATCATTTGCCCAAATGCCAATGCACCAAATAGATGAATAACTCTCACGGCACCGAAACCAATGCAGCCTTCACCCGTGCAGCCCCCCCACTCCCAAAACTGAGCTGCAGCCCCTTCCCTGCAGACCCCGCTGAAGGAGAAGCCGCAACAAATAGCTGTCCCCGTTCGGTGCTCGCCCTCGCTGAGAAGGAGACTTTCAGCCTCCCCCATATCAATGTCTCCATCCTAAATGGCACCCCTGAAGTCTCCTGTCCCTGGCTGTCGGTATCAATAAGGAGGATGAAAAGCCGCAAGCACTTACCTGGAGGGGCTCTGCCCGCAGCCAGTTCCACCCGAGTCCCTGGGCACTGCCCAATTACAGCCTCTTCCTTCCCTCTCCCTCCTTGACTTTCACTCCCCGGCAGCAGGCTTTCCGTGTGCTCTATTTAACTCCCTACAGCACAGGAATAAACCGCAGAGTTAAGCTGACAGCCAGAGCCTTATCTGCCTGCTGGATAGCGGGAGTCAATCAGCTCTAAATCCCGTTGCCGAACGATCGCGTCCTTGCTCTCAGCATCAGGGGTTGCCTGCCACGCTCTCTCTGTCCCTCTTCCCCACCTTCACTCCATCTAACTTTGTCAGGGTTATAGATAGCTCTGTTCCTTGCGCTCTTGCCTTTTGGCTCTGTTTTGTAACACCCCATCTGTATCAGCTGGCTCGGCTCCAATCAGGGGGGCTAAGCTTTAAAAAAAAAAAAAACAAACAGCTTCCTTGGGCGCTTTGTGACACGGCTTCCCTCTGCGGTCTCCCCGTGGCCCAGGCCCCTGCTCAGGCCATGGGCTGGTGTACCCCCCACCCTGCTTGCTGCTCTGTGCAATTCAGCCACACCATCCCCGGGCGACAGTGGGGGGCTGGAGCAGGACTGGCATACCCGGGCGTGAGGACGGTGACAGGGTCAGGGTTTCTACTCCTAGCTCCTTCTGCTCTGGCAGGGCAAGTCCAGCTCTTGCACTGGTTTCTGGTACCTCACGGGCGCCTCTTCCTCTCAGGCAGCGCCAAGGCTCAAGCACAGAGTGCAGGGTGGGAGGAGCAGCCGTGTATAAATAAGCCTTTTCCCTATGTTTAGAATTTATTACAGTGCATAGTGATTAACACCTGTTCAGGCTTTAATGCTGTCTCCTGCGCTGCAACATGCACAAAGGTGGAGGTGCCTTGATAAACCCAAGATTATTTTAAAAGCGTGTCACATAAACACAGCACTCCCCACCCCATAGATAGCAGCCGTCCTTTGTGCACTCATACACACGTTTCTAAGACTTAAAAGCAGCTATCTTCATGTACATATGCAGATATAGTCACCAATCTGGCTTACATTTACAAATGTGTGCACAGAGTTGGGCGTGTACATGATACATGCACTGGGGACTCTTCCCCATATTTATCAACATCCATGTCTTGCACAAAACTGCCTGCTTCTCCAAGCATAACATATACTCAGGTGGCAGAGCAGTAGATGTGGAATAGGTAGAGGTTCCTGACTGCTGATGTGAAAGGGCCAACAAGCTTCTGCATTTATACCTTGAGGTAGTATGTTTATGGAGAAATTTTACTTCCAAGGATCCAGAAAAAACTAGTTTCTCCCACGCATCTATTGCCCATAAGAACGTTAGACCCTTAGTGCTTAATATTCTGCATCCAGGAGAGAGTAAGGAGGCAGAGAGGATTTTTGAGAGTTTCTTTTGTAAATGTTTTCTCTGATTTGTCTTGAATTCTGACTTAATTAGCTGGTTTACAGTGGCCCAAGAGATGCCTTCTACCCTGCAGAGCGCCAGGCCAGCTGCGCTCGCTGCCACGCAGTACTGGGAACCCCGTAGTCCTGGGGCAACCGGCACCTGCCCGCACCTCAAGGCTCTCCTGAGCACCGCAAAATCTGTCTGGCTGCTTTCAGCCTGACAACCGGGGACTTTTCCAGCAGCAAGGACTCTGCCAGACCTAGGAGTGCCGTCCATACATCCCCAGGCCAAGAGGAGAGGCTCTGTGCTATCTGTTCTGAACTAGCGTGGCATTGCCTGGGTTTGGGGGCTCAAGGCTGATCAGCATTGCTGGAGCTCTGAATGCTCTGAAGTCACCCAAGGGCTCCACAAACCAGGCATTAGTCTTTCTTCCAGGCTTACTAGATGGTTCCTTCTCCCTGGAGCAACGTCAGCCGAATGCCCTGTGATCCATGGGACATGGTGTCCAGAGCTTTCTTCCACGTGCTTGGAGTTCTATCTCTTTTCCAGATTCTGGAGAAATGAACAGAGTAGCCTGTGGGGCAGTGATGACCTTTTCTTCTTGCCATTTGATATAGGACAGTAAGACAACTTTTTTAGTTTCAGCTCAAAGCAACAGAATGAAATCATCCATTTCTGGCCCATGGGCTCCAGTGGCCAAAAATACACCGAGCTGAAGTGCCACTTGGACATTTGGCCTGCTGTCAGACTCTAGAGGACTCTCTAATGAGGATTCCCCTAATTAGCTTGAACAGGGAACTTTACTGCTGGGGGGGATGCTGAGGAGATTGTAATGACTCTGCAGCACTTGCCAGGGCATAAAAGCTACAGCAGGCACTATCACTGTCTTGTGCTTCCCTTCTCCCTGCCCAGACACCAGTGATGTTTGCAGTATCACTCTAAAGCCTTAGCTTTCCTAAGTTGGGTCCCAAGGAGCACACTGTGAGGGTGAGGAGGGTTTCAGTTTGCTGCATCCACATACTGTTTTAGTAACACTTCCCAATTCTTTGACACCTTCTATCCAAAGCTTTCCATCTGCTCTACGAATGACTTTTACCGTGGTTGTAAGTGGTGGTGATGTTTTTTTGTATTTAATGACCCCCTGAAGTATGGCTGAGGTCGTAGCCAGTAGCGCCTCTGCTCTAGGTAGGTGGATAAAGTTATCCCATTTTCCAGATGGGGACACTGAGGCTAGAGAGACAGGTGACTGTGTCACTAGGATGAGTCGCAGTCAGAAACAGAGCCCAGAAGCCTCTGTCTCTGATTATCTTTCCTAGTCCTTTGCACTAACCCTTGGATCATGGCTTAGGGATCACTCTCCGTTAACAGCCTGGCTTACGAGCATTGGCAGGGCATGTGGGTGACCTATATTACAAAAGGGTAGGTAACAGAGGCTGCAACAGATGCCAGCAATAAATTATCAGGAAGTACATGCAGACATTCATCCCTCCCCCACACTCCCCTTGACAAGTGATGCAAAGTCCCTTTCCCCTTTCCAATGTTGAATTGCTTTAGCCTTTATCAGAAAAACAGCAGGGTGAGGGAGGACACTTTAAGGAGATTATCTTTTTTTCCTCCCCTTTCCTTGCTGCTTTTAGGATTCCTGTTCATTACTATCACCCATAATGTAGGAGGACCGTGGTACCCCAGAGTCCAGTGATTAAAGCATGTTGTTCTGTTTGTTCCTTCATCAGCCCTTGGGGGAGACGAGTTGGTACACAGAGGGCAGGGAGGCACGGCAGCCATAGGGTCTGATTACAGCAACTGGAAGTTCATGAAGGAACCTGGCTGATGAGTCCTAGTGGGGAATTGTGCTCCTGACAGTACCAAAAGTGGGTTGGATGGCATGGAGATGATGCCCATTCTTGGTCCGCCAACAAACCTAGGTCGGTCGAGCAAATTATTGACCACAAGAGGTCACCTTGTCTCAGCGGCAGCTCCTGGTTTGTTGTTTATTTGGACTGCAAAAGCTCCCAGAGGTAGCAGCCAGGCTCAGCACCATTGTAGAAACATACAGCGTGTGTCACTGCCCCAGTGAGTTTCTAAGCTAAATAGCTGGGGGCTTCATTGCCAGCACTTGCTGATTTATTAACACATGTGTTCAGGATTCATTAGTGTTGTGCTGTCACAATCAATGGAAAGCACATTTTAAATTCACACTAGAAACCCAGCCAAAAGAAATGGCGCCATCTGACTTGCAGTGATCGATCACAGCTAAGCGAAACACCTCACGCAGAAAGCAGTAAAGTGAGTAGAAAGCATGCAAAACCCACTCAGTATTGTAAGGGACTCTGCCACATCCCTGACTTGGTGTGAATAAAAACCTCACCCTATTCTCTGGGAAGAGGTCAAAAAGCTTCTGATCTTTGGAATGACAATGTCTAGGCACCTCTGAAATGCAAGTGTGATTGGTGTTAAAAAATGTTACCTCCCCAAGCCTCTCCAAGAAAAATCAACTTTATCCCTATTTTATGGAGAGGTAAACTATGAGAGAGGTGAAAATGGCTGCTGAGTTTGGCTGGCTGAAATTTCAGCTGCCCAGCTCTTGATACCTCATCATGAACCCGCATCAGTTCCCCACTCAGGATTTTCGAAGCTGCCAAGTGCAGTGCTTGCACTGGATCACTTGTAAATGCTCTCCTGTCCTGCAGAGATGATTTGTAGGGCTTAACAAAGTTACACAGAATAAAGGAGTTTTGGCCAGGCTTTCCCAAAGTTTCCTGATAGACCTGTGGCAAAATCAGGAGAGAAGCCAGTTTTCTTGATTCCTCATCCCGTACCTCAAGCAGGAAACATTATTTGCATCTGAAGCCTCCTTGACCAATGCAAAATAACAAGACTGGGAGATGCCAGAGGGGCTGGAAATACCGAGGGCATCAGGCCCCACTGAACCCTCTGAGAAAGCACAAAGCATCCGAAGGGGAGCCAGGACGGATAGCGCTGATGGGAAAGACCCAGATTGCTGTGGAGAAGTGGGATTCCTTGGGAAGCTGTGGAAGCAGGTGGGGAGACCGGGATATCCAACACAGGAGTGACAGGAAAGTCCCAGCGCAGCATGAGTGTGGCATATGGAGGAGGCCCAGAGCAGCAGCAGGAGAAGAGCTGAGGGGGCAGCTGACAGGAAGAAATCCAGCCATGTGTGTGCCAGCATCTTCTCCGAGTATTATTGAACGTGACAGACCACGTGCATGTTTCCTCCATGCAAAACGGAGGCATCTGAGAAGGGAAGCGGGTGAGGGAGTGGGAGTGGGGCTCAGAGGAGGGACACGTGAGCTGGCTACCCAGTTTCCTCCTCTTTTTCTTGCCACAGAGTGATGTTTTTGTTCTTCTCACACTGTTTGTAAAAATTGGTAACCGAGTGAGATGTGGAGGGGGGTTCTACATGAAGACTGAGATAACATTTTCTGATCCAGCCGGGAACAGTTGGCTGTGGGTGGTGGCTTGTCACCAGCCCTGCCAATTCTAATCCAGATCCCAGTTTTCCTCTTTCTCTCAGCTGTGGAGAAGAGCCTTCTCTACAACTTTTAATTTCCTGCAGGGCTTTATCCCATGGTCAGTAGTAGCTCAGGCCCT